GTAGGGAACCGTCACAGTAATCTATATCAAGAAAGCAAATTAGTGTATTTGCCAAGATTTGAAAGAACATTTCTGTGAAGCTGTCTCCACACTGCATGATTGACACAGATGTGAGTCAATACTGCTGATTGATGCTCCGTCAGCGATGCTCACACTGCACATCCACCACTGATGCATCCGCTGAGTAAGACGGCGTCTCCTGGACGTATCGATCATTATCAGTTTTACTTAAACAGCATGATGCTGCAGAAAGAGAAAAGCCTTGATTGGTCAGACATTCTGACTGCCAAAGGGTCGTTAGTGTGGTCATACAAAGAAGGTAAAAGTATTCCATTTACTGATTTAAGTAGCTTAATAAAAGTGGTTCAGTCGTTAAAGACAATTTCATGCATGTTGTCTGTGTTTAAAGTCTAACTCCCATGTGTGTCACTGAAAGGAAGCTCTGAGAAGGAGGGTTACAGCATAGATAGAGACATAAAAAAACTACTAAAAATTCTGCTAGCTGCCTCGACAACACACTCTCTCTCAACGGGACGTCAGAACCCTCACCGTGTGTTTTCAACAAACACGGTGCGCAATATTTCAGCAAAAGTGAAAAAATAAGGATTGCGCCGGCTAAAAATATGCTTTTAAACAAACATGGGAGCAGTGAAAATGCATAGAGTGAAACCTCGACCAACAGGGACCAGGTAACCAACTAAAAACAATACACCCATGTCACTTAAAACGGCATTCAGTATATAGAGTATTCAGAATATAAACACTGCACAGTTCAAGTGGGAGTAAAATACTTCAAAATGTACTAGAAAACACAGGAGCGCTCTCCTCTCTGCACATGGGATTACTGCGGTGGCACAAACCTTTTGTTATTTTGTCTTAAAAAGCCTCCCGATGTTGTAAACACTCCCTCTGGGTATGCAGACATGAAGGAGGGACTGAAAAGGGCAACTGCCTCGAAACAAATGGCCCCTAAAAGTCACAATACTACTGTATGTCAAACAGTTTTTGATAATTTGATTTATCAAAATAAGTGAGAAGATTTGCACCATTAAAGTACGATATCAACTGAGACTTGTCATTTATTTCTACTTGAACTTGGTCCAGTCTCAGATAATTTATCCTTAAGACATCTAATCGTTGCAGTTTATACTTATATGGTGCATATTGTAAAATAAAATTGTATTTGATCAAATCACCACAGACTTACACTAAGGTTAACAATAGTTCCACTACTTGTTTCACATCTGGCTTATAACAATATGTCTGTGTGGAAAGCAGCGAAGGCGGTTGTACTTGAGTATATTAATTTTCTGCTAACACAATTCAGAGACACATACAATGTATTTTTTACTTTTTTTTTACTCCATGTATGTGATTTTTAACTTAATTTACTAACAAGCTCCAACTAGGCCCAACAAGGGCTGTACACTGCGGTACTGCTATTTCAATCAAAAACAGGATCTCAGTACTTCCTCGTTCCTCTGAGCATTGTCAATTACTTTAATTGTTCCACCTAAGTATTGTATTTCTAGAGATATTCTTAAAGTGATTCTAAGTAATTCTAATTGAAGTACATGTAGTACATCATCTTTAAGTTATTCAATACCTGAATATTACTTGATGAAGGTCTATCTGATTATATCCATGTTCAATTTGTAGTGACTTGTTTGTATCATAGCTGAACAAGAGGCCGGCTACCTGTAGGGAGACCAGAATGGAAAGAAGTCAGATAATAGCGTCCCTGTGGTCCTCTCGGCCTTATCCAGAAAAGATAAGAGCATCTGCTGTCTATTAAACTCTCCCTGAACACTCAACATAGAGCTTATCATCTGCCGATACAGTTTAATCTTTCCTCTGTCTCCTCCTCGCGAAGCTAAACATAGGCTACTGTTTCTAAAATAAACGCCACTCTGCGTGCGTGCGAGCGTTTCAATAAGTAATTCATGCTCTGTTTTCCCTCCGTCTTACTCAAACACTCTCACATGCTCCCTCCGGCAGCGCACGTGTCGTCCACGCAGACACACTGCGCCCTCACATTTTCAGAAAATACCACAGCTGCCTGAGGTCTTTTAATCGACGTGCTCGTTCGCCTTAAAACGGAGGCCTCAGAACCCCCTCGCTCGGGTCCAAGGAAGCAGCCGGGCCGTGGCGTCGGGCTGGGCCATCGCCGGCCGCTTCGTGGGCCCCCCCCCCCAACTCCCCCCGAATGTCACGCGGCTCATGTGGATTAGACTTCTTTTACATGTTGTGGAGCCAGAATGTGTGAGCGTGTGTGTTAACGGGGGTGTGTGGGAGGGGGGAGGTGGTTAGGAAGGACAGGAAGGAAAAAGGAAGGAACTGAGGAATAGCCGCCGTCTGGGGTCAAAGGCAGCGATGCCACCTGTTTGGCCTCGGGGCTCAAGTAATGAGTGCTGGCGTGAGCGGCGTTAAAACAGCTGTGAAATCATCAAACCAACTGCACTGTTTAAGGTGATATATATACCATTTTAAAGAGCATTATAAATAAAAAGATTACCATATTAAGTATTTCTGTAATTAAGTTGAGTGCAATTTAATGTCTGTCTGCTTTCCTGTGGATGTGTAATACTTGCACAGTGCTATGCTATTTCAAGAAAATCAGGTGGATAGCAAACGTTTAACCTATTTCAACCCTTGCAAGGCCACATTTCAAGGCGTTTTAAGTAAAAAGTCAAAATTGATGCAGATGTAAATCCTATAAAATCTGAATGACATCTTTGGTTCGACTCTCCTGGCCAAAACATTCAAGCGGCACACCAACTAAACGTTTGAAGCCTCAAGCTGAACTGGGAGGCCCTGAAGGCATCATCAGTATCACTCTCTTTCTGAACATAAGCTCGATGGATGCTTGATCTGCTCTGAAGAAACAGTGAGCGTCTGAACCAAGCACCAGATAAGAAAAGTTAAAAGTACAACTAGTGGCCTGGATACGTCCACTTCAGTCTCACAGCAGTCTCCTCAGAAGCATCAAGTCTCACTGCCAGAGTACAAGCCACTGTTCCCTCACCCGTCTCTCATTTCTCGCTCCATACATCCCAAACCCTGGATATGATTGACATTACGCGTTTACACTTGAATTTCTTTAAGCAATAGTTTGCTTATTCTACATTCTGCATCCTTTGTTGAGTGGGAATATTAAACGCTTCCTTCCATCTTCATCCCATGTTCAGTGAGTGGAGGATTGCAGAGAACATTGTCCTTTCCCTTTCACCCGACCTCCTCCTCTCAGCAGATTTGAGTCTGATTGGACCGGCAACAAACCTGCAACCACAGCAAACAGCTGGAGGTGAACGTGAACTCATGTCCTCTGTGAAACACACACACACACACACACACACACACCGAGTAGTACTGCGATTAGGGAATTCTGAAAACAAAACTTTTACTTGGGCAGTGATGATCAAGGTTTCCGTTGAGAAGCTGTTGAGTCTCAAACGGGCCGTTTGACAGACCTTTGCTGAGAGATAAGGAGGAAGCGGTTAGCGGGGTTGCTAATCACCCGGGACACAGATGTGGGAAATACCAGTCTGATCCTTGACCAGGACCTGCACAGCGTCACCGTGGCAGACAGAACAGACAGCACCCATGTGTGAAAGAGATGACCTCGGCCCCTCCGAGGACTCCCAAGTGGAAAAAGGAAGACCAACCGTTGCAGGAGCTGATAATGCCTTTTAATTTGTCATCAGAAGTGAATGCAACAATGACGTGAGAAAATCAGAAGCTGCATTTCTGCTCCGCCTGCCTCCGGTCCGTTGGCGTAATCTGTCATGGAAGCCAGCAGCCCTCTCAAGGGGAAAGTCGAACCAACCGAGTTCCACGTTTCAGCCTTTTCCTTTGCCTCACAAATTCCTACGTGTCACTCATTCTGAAAGAGAACACTGTGATTGAACCAAACATTTCTCCTACTCCTCTTGTGGGAAAAGAGGGTGTGGGAGGAAATGTGAGTGCATGTGTACCCTGCAGTACTTGCTCAAAAAGCTTTCCCGTCTGGCCTAGTCTTGCGATGACAAGACCACATAGTCTGGCTCATAGAGAGAGAGAGAGAGAGAGAGAGAGAGAGAGAGAGAGAGAGAAAGGCTGCCTTCAAGTGCTGCTTGCCAAACATCCAACTATGGGGATTGCTTGGGCCGGACACACTGAATTGTAGCCTAGAAGAAGAACACTGTTGAATAGGACAGTCGTTAGCAGATTCTCCATCACGATGCTGAGTCTGGTCAATCGCTGAAAGATTCCAATTGAATCTTGGTTGTTGTGGCGCACGGGGTAGAGAGAGTGCACTGGGAACCGCAAGGTTGGTGGTTTGAGTCCCGGCTGCCCCATGTCTCAAGTCGAAGTGTCCCTGAGCAAGACACCTAACCCCTAATTGCTCCCCGGGCAAAAATGTAAAAAAGCCATGGGTTTAAATTGTAATGTAAGTCGCTTTGGATAAAAGCGTCAGCTAAATGACCTGTAATGTAAAATCTGATTTTTTTACTCACAGAAAATGTCTTATGCCACCGTTGTAAAATTCGTGGCGCTTTGTTGTTAATATAAAATAAAAACTAAAGGGAGCCTGTTTTTTGTTTTTCATGAGACATGCACATTTAAAAAGGCTGATCAAAATATTCTAATAATTGGAATTCACTAGTTAGCTGGTTAGTTAGTTCGTTGAAGCTGTTTTTCTAATCAGATAAAAACAAAACTAAATAAATAACTGATGTCTTAAAGGGCTACTACTACTGAGTTTGCTATTTATTGTTTGATAGTTGTCAGAAGACTGCTTCCACGATAATGATCTCACAAAGAGGCAGAATGAAGAAACAACGTTAAAACGTGAACTGTCGCCCCAACTGTTCGAAAGGGAATAGGCAGAAATAAAGAGATGCCTTGACGTTAACTATTAAGTTGTGACATTTCCTACACCACGTGAAGGACACGCGAGGACGGGCGCCGTGGTGGGGGCGGAGCTATGCAAATTAGACGTCGACTCAATAGATGCTCGCGGCTCGTGTAAGCGGAGCGGGGACACTTGCTGCGGACACAAGAGACAGAGACAGGAGACGCCGCTTCGGACCGACGAAACAGATCACTTTCGCTCGACCCACAACACCGCAACATGTCTTCAAAGTGCCCCAAGTGTGACAAGACGGTGTATTTCGGTGAGTGTTTCCCGCTTTCTTTGATCTCATCTTTGTACTTTTGGGTCGTGATGGTGATCTTCGCTTCTCTACGACCAGGTCGAGCTTTGTTTTTGGAGCGTGTTTCACCGTTTTTGTGACGTTGGAGTCCATTCATTCATTCGTTTATACATTTCATGAGTAATCCGCCAATATGTATACAAAACGGTTCATGCCCATTCATTGAAAAAGAGGATCACACATTTAGTATTCGACTAAAAGTAGGATTTTTACTAAAAATCCTACTTTTCTATATGTATGCATGCACTTCTGCCTTCTCCTGTGCTTTTATTTTGGCAACATCTTAACATACAATGGTGTATTAAAAGTATCTGTATATTAAAAGTATCTGTATATTTTCTATCAGTCTAACATTAGCTACATAAAGATCAATATTGCTTTAAGCTCCCATGTTGGGGGGGGGGGGATGTAAACCATTCCTGCATTTCCCCAAAGAGTTTCTCACAGAAATAAAGCTCGCCCTGAGACGCAGACAGTGTGTTTCTGAAGTTACGGAGCGGCTGGTGGTGTAAATGATTCACTGAGGGGAAACTTTGGGGTCGACGCAGGAGAATACACAAAGTGGTCAATGTAAACAAAACCCACCAACAGAATACTTCTTATTTCACAACATGTTAAACGCTTTCCAACATACGTGGGAGAAAACCCAAGATTTTAACACCCCCCCCCCCCCCTCAAAAAAAAACAGGATACATACTTCATACTTCATCTCATTTTGACACTGATTTTGTGCCATTTTTAATTTGTTGTGTTTGGTAAACCTCCAAGCCCGGCAGTTGGCTCGCGGAGGCCCCGGCCAAGAGTGTAGAAATGCCATATGCCGCGCTGGCCCACTCACCACAACACCACGCTGCGTCAGTGGGCCGAAAGCACGCGTCTCCTGCATCCTTCTGAGCAACGGTGCCGTCTTCCATTTAATACCGCGGATGTTTACAGCCAAGTGAATGTGCAGGAACGAGCGCAAAGTAGAGGATTAAAGGAGCACGGGGTCATGAAGATGAAACAAAAATGTCCATCTCTGTTTTGAATGCAAAGGCCGTGCAGCCATATTCATTTTGGCCCGTGCCACCCTGCTCGACAGCGGGCTCCGGGTCGCTGACCTCGTTCTGCAATTTGCGGCACACGTCCGAGCCGTCACGAGGGGGTCAGAATCAATTATGTGAGTGCATGGAAGTCTTCTTACGTAACTGGGGGGGAGAGGCAGCGAACGCCGCAGCTGCCGCTGGTCCACGTGGGCCGTAACCCTGAATATCTGCGCAAATAAGATTTCCTCTCCTCCGACACGGATTTGATGCATCTGCGCGGAAGCTGTAATTTGCTGCATCGCGTGACTCACGGCTCCTCTGTGTGTGTGTGTGTGTGTGTGTGTGTGTGTGTGTGCCCTTTTTCTCTTTATGTAACCTTCTGCGATCCTTCCTGGGGGAGTTATTTTGGGGTCGGGGTGTGGCTGAGTCGTCTAGAAGGATGGCGGACGGCTACGAGCACCCGGCTCGGGTGGAATTAGAACGCACGCGTCAAACCGGGCAGGATGGAGAAAGTGAGGGAGGTTGTTAATGGGAATATGAAAGTCCCCTTCAGGGCAAAGGGAAGCTGTGATGCTTCAGAATGAGCTCAGCAGCTCCACCTACACACACACGCACACACACACACACACCCGCCACTCAAATCATCAAAACGGTTAAAGTCCCACAAACGAGGGCGTAGAAAATGTTTCTGATCTGCACCAGGACGCGTGTTCCTGACAGGGAGAATTCTCTTCTTTTCCCAAGCTCTTCATCCGCTGGTGGTGGTGATTTGTGGCGCAGCTATATGGAGCAGTGATGGGCCCACCCTGTAGTTCCCCACCCGCTCCTCCAGCTGGGGCCCAATAGTGAATTAAGCAGGAAGTTTTTCAGCCCATGACCCTCCTTCTTGTGTAAGAAAACCTGATGAAAAAAACCGTCATTCAACCCGGCAGCGGTGAGCCACAGTCTGGGATGGAGCTTTTATTATTTTCCGTTTGTTACTTTAATTGCCTGCGTGTTTTATGGTGGTGGTTCAATTTCATCACCACTAAGTGCAAGTTTTTTTTCTTGTTGCTGTTCGCTTTGCTTCTGGAGTTTTTATTTTAAAAGTTAAAAAAAGGAGGAAAAAAACCCTATTGCTCGTCGTCTATGCAAACAGTTTACTTTTTGAGTGTTGGACTGAAATTCCACATTGTGGCGTCACATCCGTTAGTTCCTGTGGAGCGGAGATGCCTCGGATGCTTTGGGGATTATTGGCCCGCGTGTGTCAAGCCCCAGTGGACATGCGTTGTTAGCGTGGGGACGGAGTCCGCGCGGGACGCCACTAAGTCCCCCCTCAGTCCCCCCTCAGCTGCAGACCCCGATGCAGCCGCATCTCTCGTGGCTGACAAATCGGAGCCGTGACGCTAAGTGAATAAACGAGTAACTAGTCGGGGGGGCCCCGCTGGGAGTTTCTCCTCCTCTCCTTCCATTGGCCTCTTCAGCCACTTGCCCCTCGGCTCGGGCCCTGAAATGCCTGTTTCCACAACTAAAAGGCCCGTGGGGGGGATTTAAACGGGACACTTTCAAAGTGCCTCATGCATTATAATGAGAAAGGACATCTCTATTCACACGAAGCTCTTTGGGTCGAGGCAGAATGGCTTCGTCGGCCCGGCCTTTTCCCACACACCTCCTCCTCTTTTTCTACCCTGCTTTTACCCCAAACATCCACACAAAGCCTGCTTCTCCGCCGTTCCTCTCCTGTGCCGTCCTGTTTTCCACTCGGCTGCCCGGTGGGCCGTGTGAATGTGCCTCGTCGGTTACGTAACGGCACTTTCTTGAGTCACTGCCGTTGTGTAACCTGCCAGCTAGAGTGCACCAGCCATCGAGGGCCCTTTCTCCTCCGCCCGCGGAGGTGGCGTCAGGCTCGCTGTTGAAAGGCCCGCCCCCAACACAGGTGGAAGCGTCTCACCTGGGAGCACACAGTGGTCTGTTGCATAACCGCACAGAGGAACGATTGTCTCTAGTTCACCCAAATTTCTGTCAGAATCTTTGAGACTCTCCTGTCTTCTGTACGTGCAGGGCTGCGCAGGCTTCCTACACCGTCGTAGTCACGACTAATCCAATGGTTTTCAAATTGCAAAGAAGAAAAACATTAGAGGTTCTAAAGGTGCAGACTCGTGAAAAATGACTCTTCCAAACATGTATTTTAATTGAATGTATCTCAAACTCAATCAACTGTTTTTTTTCTCACAAATAACAGTTAACAAGGTGGCCTTAAGAGGGCCGCCGGGTCCCTGGTATCTGCTGTAGCTGCAGACAAAACAAGTACCATCACTCCCTGTGGGAGTTTGGGCATCGACGTGGTTCAGCAGGATTGTTTGAGGTGACCTCTCTGGGTTAAATGATGCACGCTGTCGACTATTCTGGGACACCCCCAACGTTGAACGGCTTTGACTTCTGCCACGTTTGAACCGGTATTGATCGGTAGCTCAAAATGTGAAATGAAAAGTGACACAAAGCGTGAATGGAATGTGCAGTGGCAGCAGCATGAGATTCCATTACTTCTGTTCAGTCAGGCCGGGTCTATTTTCACCGTCTGCTGTAGCAGATACACAGGAGTAGTAAAACCAGTACCACCAGTAAGCAGCGATTGTTGACTGTAATCTCAAACATTAGCCGACATTTTGAACTCTCGATCTTTTTGAAGCTTTTTTGTTTACGCTCTTCAAATGGAGCTTCTCAAGTTGAACCCTGCTCACGCAAACACTCCTCTTTACGAGCCTCCCTCAAGCCGTTTGTATGCGTGTGATGTCTCTGTCATGTGATGCCCCCCCCCCCCCTCCTCAATTATCCAATTGCATCTGAAGGTGCCTTTCTAGTGACACAGCCCTGCTTCTGTGTCGCTGTGTCCTGACTGGTTATAGGGATGAGATGCAGCGTGGGGCGAAGCAGGCCCACGGGTGTGGGGGGGGAGCAGGGCGGGCGGGTGGGGGGGATGGCTTCGCCCGCGGCTCCTCAGACCCGCGCAGACAGGATGCGAGTTAACTGCGGCCCATTTACGTCGGCCAGCAAAATTCACGAGGTCGGCCTCTTGTATTCACAAAAGGAGAAGGGGGGGAGGAAGATGGGGGGGGGGGGGGTAGAAACCCCCGGGGAGGAAACCTCGCCTCGGCCGAGGGGACGGGACGACCTCCAGAGCTAAGTTTTGCCACGGGGGTTGGCATCAGCCGCTGGAGGAGAACGCCGGTTTCCTTTTTTAGGGTTATTCATCATTATTATTATTATTATTATTATTATGTAAACCTGTTACTCAGACGTCACATTAAATATCCATCCAATATATTTCATTGTTGACAAATTGTCTCCTCCTTCCACAAAATCTGAGGGTGACCAGTTTGTTTGTTGCCGAAGCTTAAATCTCCTTCAAAGTCCCGTCCCCTCGGTGAGAGCGCCTCAAAGGCCTTCGAGTCCTCGGGGCGGTTTGCACTCCAGAGGAGTGGATGGAGACGGGATGCAGAGGAGGAAACGCAGGCTGCTTGTTTTTTCCTCTCGTACACGTCTCTTGAGATGTGAGCCTTTCAACAGAATGGACCTCCCTTGTTTAGGGGTCCTGCTTTTGTCTCCCGGGCCCCCAGACGGTCAGGTGGTGTTTATTAGGACGTGCAGTTATCACAAAAGCCCCGAATCAGGAAAACACCCGCATGGACTCAGCTGTCACTGAGTGAGTGTGTGTGTGTGTGTGTGTGTGTGTGTGTGTGTGTGTGTGTGTGTGTGTGTGTGTGTGTGTGTGTGTGTGTGTGTGTGTGTGTGTGTGTGTGTGTGTGTGTGTGTGTGTGTGTGTGTGGTTTCATTGTAGGACGAGCTGAACAGATGGGTCCACGTTACCAGAACAGAACCCAGCCAACCGCGATTCCCAAATAATGAAAATAACATTGGTTACATCATGAGCAGCACGGAGGAACTCATCCGTCACTGATCAAGCATGTTGTCACACATTAAAGCAATAAGGTACGAGAGGCTGTACTTTATCGTCCAAACAGTTACGTTATTTAAGATAAAGTGCTGCCTCATGTACTTTATTGCTTTTATAATACGGTTACAAGTAAATAGCTACCTTTCAGCACAAAATAGTATTAGCCACCAAACGTTGTGTATCTCATTTCAGTAGTCTAGAGAACAAATAGTCCCCGTACGTGCACGTAAACAGCATCGGGTCTCCGTGCAAACCGATCATTTGTGGGATTTCCGGGGTTTTTTTTCGGCGATCGCCACTGAGCTAAAAGCTGAAATGTCAAGAGTCAACAGTCGCCAAAAATCTAACCTGTTACTTTGAGTGCGCAGTGATACAGATCGCTCAGGTCAATGTGAACAGCAACTGTACATTATCGCCCAATAATACACACCCCGTGACTCACTCTCAACCAATCGGAACGCTGGATTTCATCTACCCGTATTATAATAATACATCATAACATCAAGTTCTAATTGTTTGCAAGTTTAAGGCGTTCCGAAGCTATTTGGAGCCACAGAGGACTGGCGAGAAACGATACATTCTGACTATTCTGAAAGGAGTATTTTTCATTCAGTTCATCAGACAAAACGTAGGAATTTCAGCTTTTCAGCGTGAGGTCAATTTTTCTGCGCTGTTGCACAGCGAATACAGCGATCAGTCAATCAATGGAATTGTGCAAAACTGACATGGTTCAACGTGCACAGTATTGGACGACACAGAGGCAAACTAAATTACTCCTTTCAAACTTCACGAGGGCTTTGCAGAACCTCCTTCTGTTCTTGCCTTTCACAATAAGTCCTAGAAATACGCAGTACACACTGCACAACTATTAAATATGAAAGGCCAAAAGGAAACTCGATGAAAGGCTCCCAGTAGGCAACTGCAACAACAACACATGGAATCAAATAGTTGCTTCCAAGTATGTTGTATTTTTGTGACATTTGTGTAAAAGCCTTAAAGCCTTCGAGCAACCGGACAAGCAGCCTTTGGCCGTTTCGCTTTGTTCCTCTCGCTAAGACCCAATCGATTTATTGAGTGATGAAGAGGGCACCCATATGAGATTTCAGAGCCCCACCCGCCCTGCCGTGTTGCATGCTGGGACTTCAGCTGTGTAAATGTACTCATGCTTGTTTATTTGTTTCTAGGCTCCGAGAAAGGATGAGTTTCCTTCTAATCTTGGGGGTGAATCTCAGTCCGTCCTCGGCTCTGGTTGTTGCCCGGTCGCTGTTGTTAATTAAGCAACCATAGTTAAGTCATTTGGACAGACGGGCTCTACGTGTTCCCCCTCCGAAGACCCCTCGCCTAAGTTCTGTCGCTTCCAAATACAGAGTGTTTTGCAGAACATTTGCTGCTCCTCTTGCCGGCTGCCAGTACACCGAGCATATTTGATGTCAGCATTAATAAGATCAGAAGCGTAACTGGATCATGTAACGGAAATTAAAAAGAACGAATTGAATTGAACCGGCTAGAAGGGAATGACGCATCACGAGTCGTTCGTTTTCAAAGCAACTGCTTGATATCAGATTGCCGACTTCACTCATTGCATTAGACGTCTTATGACTCAAATTTCCCAGGGCCGAAGTTAGACCCACTTAAGGGTTTCTGATCATAAGTCTTCAAATGTCAGTGGAAAGGGCTATTTGTTTCAAAATAAAACACGGCCAAGTGCGGTAAAACGGTGCTTTTGAATCCCTCGTGTTCTTTTACAGATGTTCAATGTCTTTGTGCCTTACGGTCGAACCCATAGCTATATATAGTGTGACTGCGTCTCACTATTAAATCAGACTATTTTAAAAGGCTTTTTCCAATTACGTAAAAGCACTCGCGCCTCGCCTTTTGAATGGCGCTCTGTTTGGATGTCATTTCCTGCCAGCTCAACGCCTCTTTCGTTGGCCGTCATGTTGATTTTTAGTTTTTTTTTAGTTTTTGCACACCGGTGTTGGTAATTTCCTGGCTGCAAATCAACTCGACTGTGGCGGGACGGGTGGAGCGCCACAGCCGGGTGTTGCCTACGCACATCAGGCGCTCCAGTGTGCAGAGTTTGGGCACTCGCATCTCCAGCTGTTGCTCTTTTCTTTTTGATTAACGTTCGGCAACATCGGTGAATCCGAGAGAAGAGTCGTCGGCAGCTCTTTCCTTCTGTTTCGCCGTCTCCGTGCCGACAGCAGACTGAAGAGCTTCGGCTCTGAATTTCCCAATGAAGTGAAGCAGCTGACAGTGATGCAGGTGTCTTTCTGGTGCAGACGCCGGACCAGAGGATGTTGATGTCGTCTCTTCACGCTGGAGCTCAGTGTTCCGTCTGTCGGAAATAAGAAAATACATTTCTGGATTTCTACAATCTACAATATGCAATATTCTACAATATGCATTTCTCTACCATTGAAACTGTTGAACCGAGATGGTGAGACACCCACACACGAGCCGCCTCCTTTGCTGATCAATCTAGTTTGTAGCTCACTTTCTCGCAGGAAATATTTAGCGTTTGCGGAGAAAGTTTTCCGCTCATTTGAGTTATTCTCTTCCAAAAAACGGACACAAACGTGAGGTGAGAAGTTCTGCAGACTCTTCAGCAGTGATCTCCGTAATCGCTCCCACCGTTTACACAGAACCGGGGGTGGGGGGGCGCCTGAGCGCACGGATTGGCTTAACGGATTTGGCACATCCTCAACGATGTTGACAATGTGATGGGGAACATCGGGAGAGACTTCCCTGTGGACGGGGGCTTGTTTTGGTAACACGAGTGGGTGCTTTTACCCTCGGACATGGGGGCATTTCAGTCTTCTTATTTGCAGCCACACGTTTGTTGTTATTATTATTATTATTATTATGAAAGAACTCTTTGTCGGTACATTGATTCAGTCACTTTGATTTTGTTTTTCCGTTTTTTAATTCATGTGAAATGTCAACCTAAATATAGATTTTACGGCATTCTTTCAGCAATTGAGGCCGGACAGTATGAAGGATAATAAAGATGTAGGCTCATGTCGGAGCTGGGGGGGGCTATAAACATCTGGGCCAGAGGCAGATCCCCTCCCCCTCCCCCACTCTTTAACTCCCACCACACAGAATACACACAGACACACTCTTCTAATAGCGAGTGCCCGTTATAACAGGGAGCTGTTGTGGACTTTGTCACTCGGCACGGAGGGGGTCGCAGACGGAGGAATGAGGAGAAACCGCTAGTGGTTCCATTCACATCTGTCGGGTGGTGTAACTACAGTCACCAGTCAGTCAACACAACCCAGAGAGCCCGCTGGCAGCACCCTCAAGAACTGTGTGGTGCCAGGAGGTGTGTGGGTACCACAGCGCACACACGTGAACTGTGGAGCAGAGACGTTAAACTCCTCCAACATCACCAGATGCTTGATGGTGTGTGTTCTTTCATTTAAACTCACTGGAATAAAATGTTTAGAATGAGGGAATTGACTTTATTGTCGTCCTCCTTTAAACAACAGTATCTACACAAAGTGTTTCCGGCCGTTTGCTACGTCAGCATTCCTCTGCTCTCAAGCGTTGACGGAGGTCATGCACCCGATCCTCTCGTAGTCTCACAGGCCTTGTTATTGGTAATTAATCTGTGTTTTCATAATTGACAGGGAGAAGTGATTGGAGAGTAAACAAACCTCTGCAGGGAGTAGTTGGATCTCCTAAAGCAAATCTGAGAGGCATTTTTAACACTTGGTTCCCATCACATCCAATCAGCCCCAGTATGTGATTGAAAGCAGGGGATTCAAGGAAGTGACACATTACGAAAACACACATCCATCGAGTTCATTGACTTCCATGCTGTTAAGAAACTGATTCTCAGATTGTGTGTGTGTGTGTGTGTGTGTGTGACCGATGGGATGTAGGAAGCGGACCCCCGTATCCGTCTGTTTGTGCCCCGTCTGATAAGAGAAGGTGTTTCCTCTCCTGCCTGCGTGGCTCCTTGGGCTCCATTGTGTGGAAGCGGCAGAGACGGTATTATTGGAAACGGTATAATTGGGGGGGGGGGGTTGGGGGCCTCGCTGCTCTGGGGTCGGTCTCGCAGAGAAAGGGGGCGGAAATGGGGTCGACGGGCCGTCTGCAGCAGGATGGGTGTACAGTGAGCTGGGGGAGGGGTGGCGGTCTGGGTTTGGGAGGAGGGGGGGCTCAGAGGATCTGGGTTGGATGGGGGGCCCCCTGCCTCCTCCCTCTCCCCCCAATGCTCCAGCTGGACCGGGACTCACGCCACCGTCTCTCCCGCAGTGACATCATCACTGCATTCTGCACAGACATTCCCAGTGTAATGCGCCGCCCCCCCCCCCCCCTTCCCATCACCCCCCTCTCCCTCCCCGTCACTCGCTTGGCGCGATGACAGGATTTCCCTCCCAAGGGCGCAGCGGCCCGGCGAGGTCGCACAAGCGGCCGATTATGTTGCCGCGTGAAGCCCTCATTTGTCTCTCCGATGGGTGACGAGCGCCGAGCACAAAGCGCCACGCGGGCCGTTGCCCGTGGCAACGTCGCCGCGAACGCCGCTGTATCCCTTGATGTTTGCGCTCACCCCCGCATCTCTTTTGTCGTCCATGTGCAGCTGAAAAGGTGTCATCGCTGGGGAAGGACTGGCACAAGCTGTGTCTGAAGTGCGACCGCTGCAACAAGCTCCTGAACGCCGGAGGCCACGCTGAGGTCAGTCGCGCCGCCGGCAGCAACAACGCGGCCCTCGCACGGCCGAAATGAAACGCGCCTCGTCCCAACTGGTGCTGAAACTGCTGGAGTTCTGTTTCTGCGGCCCCCTTACCTCCATTTCATGTTTTTATTCTTTTATACTCTATTTCATTTCAGAAGGAAATATTCTCGTTTCTGTTTATTTAAAATGTGTAGCTGGTAGTTACTTTTAACATTAAGAGTTCACACGTGCGAGCAATTATGAGCTATGACACTCATTTAATTTGAAGTTAAGACTATTAAGTTAAGACCATTAACTGTGTGTCTCACACATTATTGCACTATTCCAATATTATATATGCATAATCATGAAAGGTGCCATTCAGCAAAAGTACAAATACTCCAGTAAGAATTTGTGTGGGGGACTTTCAGTATTTTAAATTTAAACAATCTCAATACTTTTAATGGTTTCCAGTTGACCAATATATTCATCAGTAATGTGATGTAATCTTGTCTGTTCTTTTCATTTTTTTTGTTTATCAACCAGCTGTTTACTCAAAAAACTCAAGATAATGATAAAGTCGTCGGTCCGAAATGACATTTCAAAACCCAACGATTCATTTTATTTACTGCTTCATTCTTAATTAGTCTAACTATTAACAGTCATTAGAAGATGACATTTGAGAGCTGAACCAGAGGGAAGGCGATACAGGTTTTATCTCCCTAACAGGTGAATGGAATGACTGTGGGGGGTTTGCAGTATGAAAATATCAGAAGTGCACAAGACAGCACAGTGTCGGTCACACGGGGTCGAAGGCCAATGAACTGAAGTTCACTGACTGTTGTTGTGAAATCTAAAAAGGGGAAGCCGGTGCCTAATGTATTGATTTGTTCAAATATGGTCTTAATAATGGATCCTCAATTAAAAACTATGGCATCTTTTTGTCTCTAAAATCAGCTTGTGTCACTTAGTAAATCTTTATTTACTGAATTTATTAAATTATATTCTAATTTCTATCACATCTTTTGCAGGTGAAGTTCTAGTCACTGGGGTGATGTTTTTATTATTTTATTCCCGAGCTTCTGTTTTTATTCCCTTTGTGTGCAAAACAACTTTTTAATAAATACATTTTATTAAAGGTGGCGTGTTTGTACCATCGACTCCTGTCATGGTACCATAACAAGGTTAGGTTTAAAAAAAAAAGGGCCAGCCCCATTGAAACAATCTGCTATTGGTCAACTTCGATTTGTTTAACACCCCCCCCCACTTCAGCCTTAGTTTGCATCAGTCAAAAGGATCCGTCCTTGTGGGAATGTTAACCCCCTGAGCGTTAAAGGCTGAGTGGCCTTTTTTCCTCTCTGTTGCATAATCACATGTCTCTTCTGACCCCCCCCCCCCCCTGTAAACGTGCGAGTCTCCTGCTCCTTTGCCAACAAAAAAAGAGGATGTCCAACGTGATCTCAGCTGCTTTGTACAACAGAAGCAATTTCCCCGCAAACCCCAAAGGATGTCGTTTTAATCTCTGCGTGATTACAGTAATGTTGTCACACAATTTCTCTCTCTCTCTCTTGCTCGCTCGCTCGCTGTGGCCTCCATCCCAATCCTGCCCCGGGCTGCAGCACTGTGGCACCAGCCTGACTTTAGCAGGCAACAAAAAAAAAAACTCAATACTCACTACTCACGATCATCGTCATGGAAACCGAGTGCGGGTGGAAGAGGGGACTAAAGAAGACGTACAGGGGGCCGTGTTGGAGGCTATTTCTTGTCATCTCGGGAATGGTATGCGAGAGGTCACGGCCCTCGGAGCAACCGCGACTGCTTCTTTAGAAGGAGCCGACAGCAGGAAGCGGTCCAGCCGAATGAGGGCAGCAGCCTCCCGAGGCCGGTGGCAGAGAGCCAGGCTCCACGCGATAAGTCCACGACCCTAAAAGACCAGGGCTGTATATCGTGACACGTCCCGAGGAAGTTACGTTTTCACTTATCGCCCACTTGTTTCTGCAAACTTTAGTCAAACACAGATACTTCTTTAAAATATCCATCAAATGACACAAACAAACTGCCGTTAGGTTGAATGTAGCCACCTGCTAAGCAGCCGAGCAAAGACGGCCGAATGAATCCTCCATTCTGCCCCCCCCCCTCCTACAGGGACTCAATCCCCCCAAAATGAGTGCGTTGAGGTGGAAGATTGGAAAATCCCATTTTAAATATCAGCTTGTGGGAAGTGAGCTCCTGGGAAGCGAGTGGGCTGAGCAGCGATGGATGATCCCTTCTCAGGGTCCTGCTGCCTTCCAGCCACGGCGCACACGGCGTACGGCGGAATGTGAGCGGACCACTCGCCTCACTTTACAATGAAGCCCACTGTGTCCGGTCCTGAGAAAGTCATCAGTGCTTAGTCCCGGCGGCCAGACCTTCACGGCTCTCCTAAATGTCAAACGGGAAGTGTGAGAGGACTGCGCGGCCGCTTTACCAGTCGCTGATCCCGTCGTGGTTTAATGCATTATCAAAGCTGCGCCGCCTTCTGAGGAAAAATGAGCTCATGTGGCCAAAGCAGAAGGGATTGTGGGTAGTCTGTGCCCTCTGTAATGCCATGTTTTTCCCCTTGCGACCCGACGCCTGGCGTCTTGCCCGTGGCATTCGCTCGGTTCTTCTCTTCTATGGGCATCGGGCCCTGGACCAGTGATCCCCAAGCTGGTCACGTGCACCTGCATCCATGTCTACCGCTGACCCCATCAAGCCTCCCCGGGGGGCACGGAGGCGTCGGTTGCACTGAAGGGTGCCGCTGGATTCTGGGAGACGCCAGACGGTCGTCATGATGTGTTGAAATGGAAAAGACAAAAATACTTGTTGGACCTTTTTTGGATCTTTCCATTTCCACTGCAAGACCCTAAAAGTCTATGATGTCAGAAATGAGTGTGAACGATATGAGCTGTCATTGTTGCTTTTTCCCTGTTTTTTTTTTAAAGTCCTTTTCATGCCAAATGAGTTTTTGTGTGTCTCCCACAGCACGATGGACGACCCTACTGCCACAAACCGTGCTATGCTGCCCTCTTTGGGCCGAAAGGTAAAGTCAATGGCGACGGATTCAACATCTGCTTCACACTGACGACCACCAAGTACAGCCCCTCAGCGTTCAGTATAGACTACAAATATACATTATTTATGGATAAATATACATTCAGCGGTCAGGTAACAGGTACTGCCGTGCAATAGAAACACAGCTCAGCAAAGTAAAGATAATGGAAAATTCATGTTAATTAAAGAGGAAATAAAATCCATGTCTTTAGTGTGTCTGACATACAAACTATTCATTTTCAGGATCTTTATTTTGTGATTAATAACCAACATATTTTATAAATTCCTTTTCCCACTAATTCAGAGTGGGATATGGATTTATTAATTAATATCAGCTTGTGTTTATTACGTTTATGTATTTAGCGCAGCATGTATGTATTTTTGTATCTTTTAATGTCAGTTGTAGTATTTTAGAGCAGATCTGAATGTCATGTGTAAAATCCATAAACATTTATTTAAGTCACAATATTTCAACCCCGCCGCTGCGTCTCTCACAGGCGTGAACATCGGTGGCGCCGGCTCTTACGTGTACGACGCTCCAGCCAACAACAACGCGTCTCCCACCAGTGTGGATTCGGTCCCCAAAGCGGAGGAGAAGCGAGTGTTTGCACCAAAGGCCGCCCCGAAGGGTAAGCGAGCAGCGAGTGGATTCGCCGCGGCGCTAATGTCTAACGGGGAACCGCTAGTCGATGGTGAACGCCGACACACCTGCCTTGCCTGGGAAATCAACAAAATCATGTTATCAAGTGTTTTTTCATTTCTATCTTATTGGTCTTTTCTGTACCCACTTTGTTGTTGAAGTCAGATGAGGAGGATTGTTTTAACTTTTACAGGGTTTTTTTTTATGACATTATTCCATAAAATAGAGAGAAGAGAAATTGGGTGAAGTAGAAGTGTAAGACCATTCATTAGAGTGTGATGTACTGAATCTACCGTTATGAAGGGATTCACGTTGTCATGATTCCAGACCGGTTAAGACTCAAATCTAAATTGTTTTTTTTACTTGTTTTTTTTTGCTGAATATTTTGGGCAAAATAAAGTGTGTCGTGATTTGTGGGTTTCATGACAGAATGAAACCAACCCAACGCAACCACAACACTACGTGTTCACTAAGGACTCTCTTTTCCTGTTTTAACATGGCAACCACAACGAATATCTTAATATTTAAAAGCTGTTTAGTACTTAATTTATTTCCATACCCCTTCTTTATTAGTACACTGGATTTCACACCTAACTGGAAATGTTGGAGGTCAAATATTGAACTGTTTCCCTTGACTTTCCAGCCTTTGTAATCGTGTGTGTGTGTGTGTGTGTGTGTGTCTCTGATGTTTCAGCTGCTGGCGGCATCACCACCTTCTCCGGAGAGGCCAACTTGTGTCCCCGATGCAACAAGAAGGTGTATTTTGGTGAGTGGTTTCACACTTCCTCAAAACAAGGTGGGGAGAGGGAGGAGAAGGTGTGAACCTGCAACTGGTTGCCATGGCGTCTCACAGGTGTGCTTTGTGTGTGTCACCACAGCTGAGAAGGTGACTTCACTTGGTAAAGACTGGCATCGACCGTGTCTGCGCTGTGAGAGGTGCAGCAAGACTCTGACTCCTGGCAGCCACGCAGAGGTGAGGGGAAAAACACCGCCGTGGTTCTCTGCCGGACTGAAATTCACCCCTCATGTCTGCAAAAAAGGAAACATCTCTCAATATGACAGTCTGGCAACGAACTCCATTATTCGTTTATTAGTTGAGTTTATATATTTTAACAAAATGCCCCTATCATAGCTTCCATCATAGCCCACAAAGTGTAAATGACTCAAATGAGACAAAAACAATCACACATTCTGTCACACATAAATAGTAGAGTAGAAAGAAAATGTATCAAATACATTTTTTATATATATATATATAATATTATTATTATTTCAAGAGAATTTCATGAGGATATGTTCTGCTTCTAGGAAAGGCACGGCCTGTAAAAAAAACTATTTTGATGTAAAGATTTGTACATTAGCTGGAATGTAGCACAAAATGAAAGTCATGGCTGTGCTGTTTATGTAAATGTCAAAGAATTTCCATAAAATACATGAATAATTGCAATCTCAACGTTGACCAAAATAATTGTGGTTATTATTTACAATATATAATTTATACAGGAGTGAACGAACTCAGTAAAGTATAAATTAATAAAACACAAAATGTGTGTAGGATGAAAAAGATCAAGTTGACAGGACATATAAATGTCTCTTAATGGCCTTTTCATGCCGTTTTCATTGGACAGGAAACATTATTTGATCGTGTTGACGTTTAGTTTTTTTCCCTCCACCTTGCAGCACGACAGCCAGCCCTACTGCCACAAGCCGTGCTACGCGGTCCTCTTCGGGCCCAAAGGTAACCGCTAGGTGGCGCCGTCCACCCACCAATTATCAGCTACACTTGAAACAGAATGTCTGAGCACGTGATCCACACTGACCACAAGCATCAGCCACGACACAGAAGCTTCTTCAGGAAAATGTTTTCCGATCCCCCCCCCCGCTGCACTGCTGCACCTTCTCCTCTCGGTTACCCCCCCACACTCCCCCTCAACCCTGATACCCTCTTGCTCTCCCTGTGTTTTTTCCAGGCGTGAACACTGGTGGTGTTGGCAGCTACATCTATGAAAAGGAGCCCAGTGCAGTGACCCAGCCTTGAACCTTGTGCCCCCCCCCCGCCCCCAGCTTCATCCCTCTTCTCTTCACTGCACCAACCATCAACGGCAGTATTATTCGTGGGCCGTTCTTCTTCCTCCCACCTGTGCGCTCGTACCCGAGAGAACCAGATCCTTTTTCTCCTCTATTCTGTAAGCCGCTCCCAGCTGATTTAGACCCACGAGGAACGATCGATACGTGTATTCGCAGCGGGAGAGCCACAGCCAGCATTCCCACAGCTTGTTACAAACCTTTTCTCCGTTTTTCTTTCTCCCCTGTTAACACATTTCTAAATGTATGTGAACACATTTAGATGTTGTCAGTTGAATACAAAGGTCTTTATATATCAATTTTGAACCCAGGAACCGCGCGACGGACTGTCTGTTTCAAGAAGAAGTTTGTTTAACATTAAATGTGATCAGAGTGATTGTCGAGTTCGGTAAGGTGCGTTGGCGGTTGAGGTGCATTGTGGGTATTGGTGCAGCAGGAGGAATTGCCATGATGCTGCCTCCGGCACAGGTGGTGCTTAGGAGCACGGTGCCACACATCTGTATTTTGTAAATGTCACATTTACATTTTGGCTGCTTGACAACATTCCAAATGTAAAAAAAAAAAAAAAATCAGACAAAAAAACGTCCCGACAACATATTCTAAAGACACGGAAACAGATTTTCAACACAACCATAAGCCTGAACCATAGATGTTGTTTTACTTCTGAGCTTATGTCGGTAACCTGTTTGATTTTAAAACTAAGATCATCTGCTAGTAAATAACACAATCGCCTGTTTTTAAAGTGGGACAGAATGTGGGTGCAGTCGTGCGAGCAGAGGACAGAAATGCGTATTTATACCTTCCAATCAAGCCCTTAAGTTACACAGCCGTCGTACCGTTACCCTCTCTGATTATGAAGGAGGTCAAACGAGGAGATGTAAGCTGCATAAACTTTACGATCTAGACTTTTATTGTTCATTTCAAATAAGTAACACTGCTGTTATTTTATTTTTTTTGCGAGATGACGCACTATTTGAATTATTTTATTTCTTGTTGTTGACATTAGCAGGAACACCTGCTTAGCTTGTAGAAACACTGCAGACAAGTCATTCTGTAAGAATGTGCCTCCTAGTTTTACTGTTACCCTGTTTGTTTGATACCTGTAGTCGGGCTCCGTAGACACTGCAGGGCCCACCGTCTGTAACCGAAGCACTGCATCCCTCTTTTTAATCCCTTGAATAAAACGAAACACTAGATCTGTGTTGATGCAATTATTCTCGCACTGTTTTTTGTTGTTGTTTTTTACTCCATTTTCAGTTTCCAAATGTTTCCTGTCTAAAGTAAAAAAATCCCCAAGATGTACAGTATTCGGTTTAAGTGTGTTAAGTGCCGAGTGTCGTCATCGGGAGCACCAGAGGCTGCGTCACTCCTCCAGCAGCCAACGGGCCTGAATCACTCGTCGCCGCTCGGTCGTGAATGTCGAAACTGTCACGCGGCGTCTTTTTATGAGGCACAAAAGCAGCGTGATGCAACGTGCTCTGCTGCAAAGGTGCGCTGCCAGGTGTACACACGCCCGTCCGCTGTTTGTCTTGGCTGCACTTTACTTTCGAGGCTCCGTCATTTCTTAATTGCTTTTTTCTGACGTGATGAAACCAGTTTTTGTGTGAATTATTATAGAGGAGGGAAAAAAAGTGTGTTCATTCTCAACTCATGGATGCCTTCAGATGGATTTAGTGTGTTCTATAGGCCATTTATTAAATGATTATATACTATACACTCATGCTAAACACAGGGACATAATAACAGGCACATCGTTTTAGTTCTGGGGGAATTATCTTAAAAGGACTAAATGTTAATCTGTTCGTACAAGACGTATTCTCGACACACAAAAGAGACGCACAAAACATTTTTCAGTTTTCTATGTTTGGCTAAAACATTTTGATTCTTACATAGCAGATAATTGGAATTTATTCTATTTTCCTGTGAGGAAATGCATATTATATTTGAACTATTAAAAACATAGGAACCCAAACTTTCTCTTTCTTGCTTTATTATTTTATTTTCATTTTGTCCACCTGTGAGAGCCTCGTGCACTGCGGGGGGGCAATCAAAGCAGCGAGCGGCAGTGAAAGGTCTTTAAAACCGGACCATCTGGCTTTCCCTGACGCCGACCGTGTTCAATAACCTGGAGGAACAACAGCCTTGTGTTCGCAGTAGACCGGAGGCTGTTCGCTTAATCCTACTGTGATGAGGCAACACTAATCTCACCCTTTCTCACCCCACTCTTCGTCTAAACACGGGGCCTGGCAGCGGCAGGAAACGGCTTCACCCCGTCTCTCGGTTTCACGTCCCTTCTCGCAGAACGAGGCTGTGACACCGGTGCGGTGCTCCTCTCGCTTTGTTGAAATCCCCTTCGTTTGGTCGCTTTCCATTCCGTTTGTGCCGTTGTCTACCGGGGGCCGCACCCGGGTAAACAGCGCGGTTGCCTGGATACCAAACAGACGTCGGCACGCGGAGTCACACGGCCGTCCGCGTTTGACCTCTTTCATTCTTTTTTTCCAATCAGTCGCACGCCTTGGATTCTGAGCCTTGGACGGACTGGTCTCGTGGTGGGGACTGGAGAAGGACACCATGTGTTGGCAGTAAAGATTCAACACGATTGACTTGACGAGATAAGAGTCGTGTGGCCTCAGGAACAAAGATTAACAGCTTCACTCCGCTTTTGCTCGTGCAATGCTGTTCTTTGTTTGCCAATTTTAGATTAATTTGCTTCATATGCAGTTTTGGTCCCAAAAAGGAAATCAATTCCTCTGTGTGTCTTTCTTTTCCTTCGGACCGTTTCCTCCATGTTGAGGGGAGAAAAAAAAACCCGTTTGTCTCACATCATAAAACAATATTTCCACCATATACAGTTATTCCCTAAATATAAACCTGTATACGAGGGCTGTGAACGTTCCACCGACTCGACTCATCTACCAGATGTTCCCAAAGCTTCAGCAAAGCGGCCACGTTGGGAGAGCGTGGTCGCCTTACTGGAACCAGTCTCTTTGTAACACTGGCCTACCGGGGAGAACGTAAAGCAACGGCTTCCCTTGTCCACAAAGTGGCTCGATGTGAGACGCCCATTCGCGTTTACTTCTCAGCCACGTGTCATCGTAACTACGACTTGGACGCCGGCGCGATCGCTACGATCGAACCACACGCCAGCTGTAGTCTGATCTCCTTTCAAATACTGCTGAATCCTAATTACTTTTTTGTGCAAATGAACTCCCAACACTCCAAAACTGCCTCTCGTGGGATCCCGTCTCTCACAGAAAGTAGCTGATTGAGGAAATAGTTCCCCTTTAAACAAAGTGGGCGTCCTGTGCTACAACGTACACATCGCCCAGTTTTCAGAGGCCAGGTGTCGTTCCTGACGCTGTCAAGCAGCTGTGCACAGCGCCAGGAAACCGGCAGGCGGTTTTCTTTCAGTTAACCATACTGAGTCAATTATTGAGGCGCCACCTTGGTAATTAAATTGCGCTTATTGGGAGTAGCTGTATCAGTTTGGATTTTTCCAACAGCCATCGCCTCAGCCAAAAGGGTAATTCAGCTAATCATCTGATGGGAGGTTCCCCCTTGTTAACATAAATAACACGTGTGCCTTCACAAGCCTGGTTTCTACATATGAACCTAGTCTGGTTTACCACTACAGTTACATCAGATCCTGTTTTAGTGAAAGTGATGGTTTTAACAAACCTACCGATCCTGCCACACATCAAAAGTGCTCTTTTTTCTTTGCACGTATTATGGGCCAGTTTTCAGTTGGGGAGAAGCAGATGTTAAACGTTGACAGCCTCTCCCTCCTCCGGCTCCTCACCTCCTCCCTGTGGCTGCGACAGCTCAGGACCGACCCGAACTCAAAATGTTAAATGTGAGGAGGATAAATGTTGTGGAAATCGAACCCCTAAATCATCCCTGCTCCCCCCCCCCCCCCAAGGTCCCTGGTAACGTTTTAAATCTACCCCTCACAAGCAACGGCTCAGCACAGGCTGTCTGCTGCTTGTCGTTGTCGAGAGCTGTAACAAAGAGACATGATACGAGCGGCCGAGACCCTCCCTCCCTCCCCGTCGTCCCCTGCGCTCTGAATCCTCTGCATCCTGCTTCTCCCACTGGTCCCTGAGGGCCCGCCCAGCCCGCGGGGAAGGGATTTTTATCATGCTTTTGATGAGGGGGGGGCTCGTTTCTTTTCTTCTCTCTTTGCACAGAGATCAGTAACTCTTAGTGACCGGCAGTCTTCGCAGGTTATCTGACACTTTCAGCGTCTGTGTCTGAGCTGTGGTAGCACATGGCAGGAGACAAAGGGAGGTGGGGGCCACAGCGAGCTTTGTTTTGGCTCACCCTTACTTGAGGCAGCCAAAACATACCGTAGATTACTTAACCATGACTACAAAGAATACAAAGAAGCGTTTGATTGCAAATCCAAGAGCAACAATCAAGCTTCTGTTGTCATTTATCTGGTCTGTTGAAGTGGACCTGGTCACTAAACGGATCAAACTCAAAGTGAGATTATAATAACATGAGATGAAATTGCTTCTGAAGGTCAAGGCTTACTTGTGAAGCTGTGGCTGAATATTAAAAATCCTATTTTAAATAAAGTCACGGTGCATGATATCCTTTTTTGCACAAATAGAGGAACTGAAGTCAGTCAGACCCCGGAAAATGTGCTTTTGTATACTGGTGGTCAGTTGCATAATGTTCAGCCACACCCTGCAGACGTGCAGGAAGCAGCTGTTAAACCGATCACATGGAACAGCAGGATTCTCATCACCACGTCTGTCTTCAGCCTTTTCCCCCTTCTGTCGCCTTTTCCTGTTTTTCTGCTATTTGCGTATTTCCACAGCACACATTCAATTCAGTAGGTAAAGGTTCAGTAAACGTGCACTGAAAATATTTATATCTATTGATAAGCAGGATGAATCAGCCAACATGTGAATCCGTGCCCTTGCTTAAAAGGAACGTGATTCTTTGATTATATTGTGATTGCAATAAACTGTAATAAATAAGTAAGTGATACTGGAGTTATGATTAAACGTCTGTGAATGCAACGGCTGTTGCAAGTAGCTCCACCTAATTCTTATCTTAAACTGAGCTCAGATAAAAAAAAACATGCTTGAATTCACGGCGTATATGAACATTATTAAAAAAGCGTCGCACGACGGGGCAAGAAGGCAAACATCTGGCTGGTAGTGTGTTGCATTTCTTTCTGGTTTGCCGGGTACATTTTGAAATTTGCTCACGACATGACTACAGTCGGCCTGCATCCAGGGACACGCCCGCTGTCGTCAGGAAAGCTTCGCTCATTGTCGAGTATCCGATAAATGGGAAAAGCCTCTCTGTGTACAATGGACCCACTGTGAGAGCTGCCAGACTGAGATGGAAAACAAGTGAGGAGGGACGAGGAGCTAAAAGTCCTGCAGGCAGTTTGTGGTCACTCGTGGCAGAGAATGAGAGATTAGGAGAGTGTCAATATGAGGAGGTGATTGGTTGAGTGGACACGGTTGGACTCTCTTCTCTTGAAGAGATGTCAGTAAAATGTTGCACGCAAGCCTCAAAGTAGAAACCAGGCCTTTGAAGAAAATATTACATTGTGGCAAAACCGTGGAATTGCAACTCTCTGGTTTCTCACATCATCGGGAAGGAGACGTCTGTGAATAATTGATTTCATTTAAACTTTTTTTGCTGATTATTAGACGTCTCTTTCCCAATATAAGTAAATGGGGAAAAATCACCCGTAAACTCAGATATTATATTTCCATTGGCTACAAAGTTTGCTTCAAAGCCTGGTTTGTGCGTGTCTGTGAGCTTGGGCCGCACCTCCCAACTGAACTGCCAGAATCACATCCATCCTAAAGTTAGCAGCTTTTAATAAAAATGATACTTTGTCATCTTTTGGATTTTTGTCATGAACAACACATTTCAGTTGACTTTTTGAGTTTTAAACCTGTGCTTTATCCCAGTCTCAGTGCAAATACATACGACAAAAGGTGGATCATAGACCAGAAAAGGAATTATTCATACTTCAGTCGACAAAGGCCCCAGCTGTTGCCCTGATATTATTTCAGAGAATTCTTCAGTGGTCTCCGAGTGTTCCCACATACTGTAAACCCACCACAGCGACCCTCTAGAGCCCATCACTTGGGAAAACATTTTCTCTGCATTCGCTTTTTATTTGCCCCGACGAGGGAACGAGGCCTGTTTGTGTTATGCGTGAGGCGGTTGTCAAGGAGAC